AAACAAGGAGTACGGTTTGTTGAATGAGGGTTAACGTTTGAGGGACTTCTGGGCTGGATACCAAATAACGTTGCGTTACATATCAATTACATCGCCGTACTGAGCGTAGGATTGAATTTCAAAAGACGGGTCAGGAGGTGAGAACTACAGAGATGTAGTTTCAATACAGGCGATTTTCGAAGACTAAACACTGGTCAAGCAAATAGTTTTAAATTAACGTTATCTTACAAGACGTTTCGCTTCGCCTTCTTCGTGTTTGACCACAGCAGAGCACAGATAATATAAACATTTCAGAGAGTAAATATTCCAGCTCCGAGGTGGCGAGTAAAACCAACGGCCACATCTGAAAGAAAAGGACAAAAGGAAAACCTTGTTTAAAGAAAATTCCTCAACACGTGTTTAAAAAGTAATATATCTCTTCTACATCATTTTCCCTAGATCAGTTTCATCCCGCAATGGTTTTATAATCGCCCGTACCGGCGCATAAAGCAGATTAAAAACATTGTACCGAACATTCCGGACAATCAATCATAAATTGCGCTCGTCGTCGCGACGGTGCTATAGCGGGAACTTTAACATGCTTTGAGGAAAAATAGTTACTCTTCCGCGATCCGATCAGCATTTAGCTAGCTTGCAATGCCAACAATAAATTGAAAATGAACGACAATTCAGCCTGTGCAGTAGGACGGCGGCTCTTTTTGGACACAGTAAATTTCCAGAGTCGCTCGACACATGACCAAAAATCAACCTTCGCTATACGAAACCACAGACTTTGATTTGAACTACACTTTCACGACTTTGTAACATAACCTTTCCTGGCAAAAAGCCTGCTACTCACCGTTGTTGCTCGCTTATTCAAAGATCAGCACCTCCGTCGTAGAAACTGAAACACAACAACAGAACAGTCTCACTGTAATGGTCAAATATTAAACATGTTTTTAACCTTTCTCGCAGTGCATTCTGGGAAATCCGTCTTCTACTCGTGCGGGACACATTACATCCTGGCAATAACAACACAATTTATAAGTCTCCAGCAAGGCAAAAATCACAGCCAAAAACTTCGTTAGCCCTCTTTTCTTATGTCCAAACTAACCAATTTGCCCCTTATTGCCTGCTGGAGACTTCTTCACCGTGTGCAGAGCTGGGCAGAGACGTTATACACCATCCACCGGATGGTCTCTCGGATTGTGCCCGAAGCTCGGTTCTTTGAGCAACGAGCGCCCATTTAAGCCTTCCCGGACTTAATGATGTCCCAGGCACTTTGCAAACCGTGGAAATAGAATTTCTTGCCAAACTCGGCTCATATTAGTCCCCGTTTCGCACACGCTCCGATCAAAACCTCTCCACTCACCAAGAGAGCCGTTAAAAGGAGAAAGATACCGCGCAAACTCGAACCTTTCAAAACTAGACCCGGTTCCCCTCGGACAAAAAAAAAACCGGAAGTCCTTTCTAACGCGAGTGAAAAGAAAAAAAGAAATAAAATAAATAATAAACTTACTTCTGTTGACTTCCACGCTGCTCCTCCCTGGTTTTCTTTAATGAAAAATATCTATGATAAAAAATGACATTTCATAAAATTAATTGACATATATAATATACACCGTAATTTTTAGGGAGTTATTATAACTCCAAAAATGGAGTAAAAATTTTAGGTACAGGATAACCCCTTTTTTGGGGTTATTTTAACTCCTAATTTAACTCCGAATTTGGGGTCATTTTTACTCCTGAAAAAGAGTTCTTTTTACTCCCAGTCTTGGAGTTAAAATTAATCCGAAATGGGGTTACTTGTACTCCTTACAGGAGTTGTTTTTACTCTTTTTGGAGTTAATTTAACTCTGAAAGTGGAGTAAAAATTTTAGGTACAGGATAACTCCTTTTTTGGGGTTATTTTAACTCCTCAATATCTGGGGTCACTTTTACTCCTGAAAAAGAGTTCTTTAAACTCCTTTTTGGAGTTAAAATAACTCCACGAAAAATAACTCCACTGTAAGGAGTTAAATTAGCCCCACTAGAGGAGTTATTATAACTCCCTGAAAATTACAGTGTGGAACTATTGATGACTCGGCTCTGTACCCTCTAAACATTGCTGCCCCTTAAACGCAATCTGTTCCACAATCTGTATGTCTCTGTGTGTAGTAGGGGAAGTAAGAGATTTACCGATGTCAATTTTATGTGCAGTATAATGAACTGTTTAATGCTCCATTATGACATTACAGAATTCGACTCGCCGCAGCAGATGCGAGAGGCCAGTTGGAATTTTTCAAAGCTACAAAATGGACTGGAAGAAACATTCGGCAACGAATTAAGTCAAACTCGATGTTGTACGTCGTCCCCTCGGTAAGTTAAGCTGTGATTTAGTTCTGCTTGCAATCTCTCGACCTCGATGTCTAGAAGGGGGAGAAGGGAACGGAAACTTCGGTTCCTCCTCAACGCTTAAATCTCTGAGGAAAGAGCTCGCAGGTTACCTAGAAACACTAAACAATGGCGACCGAGTGTCGTCGTTAAAGTACACAACTAGTACACACTTTTCAAGTGCCGAACCTTATTCATTAAGTTATTATAACGTATTTTGCAAGCAGTTTGACCGAAATTAACATTCTTCTCCTTTTGAATTTAGTTAGGCTAGGGCCCTACTTCGGCTCATGTATAGATCGGCATTACTGGTATCACGTTTAGTTTCATTAAAATTAAAACGTTTCATTTTTTACCGAGAAACTCAGTGTTTCCCTAGCAGGAGGGGAAGGAAACAAACTTAAAGGCGCTTTGTCATGAAGATTTTTCTCTTTAAGTCCATTCTGTGTTAAAGTCACTACTTCGCGCATAATCCTGATTATTATGACGAAGTTATCAAACAAATTTCATCGGGGAGCACTAACCATAATCCTTTTTTAATCATTATACCTGCCTGGGAAACCGCCCACCTACCCCTCCCTTAAGCCAACATTAACACTTCTCACTTAGGGCATAATGTTGGCTTAGGGAGGGGTAGGAGGGCAGTTTCCCAGAAACGGTACAGTGATGCTAATTTTTTTGGTGATTTTCATAGGCATAGTATTATAAAGTTGGCCCATCTTTTTCAAGCTTCATCCTTGTCATCCGTTGCAATAGGCGACTAGAAACATTTTCAATGCCTACATATAGTCTTAAATAAAAAAAAAAACTGGACCATTATTTTCGGAATTCAATTGATGCGAAGACATGTTGTAGCTTTTCGAAAAGGTAGCAAATACTGCGACGTAGCCCCAGCCTTGGACTGGTTTCTCGATTCTAGATAATCACTAATGATTCTGCTTTTTCCCTTTCAATCAAAGTAATCAAAACAACATAAGCGGCAGAGGAAACACAGAAGAGAGTGGACCTGTTTTGTCACAGGACAATTGACGCTGATGCGTTTTATTCAGGAACAGAGAGAGAAAATGGCCTCATCCATTTATGTTGGGTGTACTTTGCTGCTCTTTTTTTATATATGTCATTTTCGTCGAGACATGTCCAATCTAATTCCTGTATAAATTAAAAAGTTTTTAATCCTCCAATAAAAAGTTGGTGTTTACCTATGTCTTGTTTCTCTTCGTGAATGACGAGTTTTACGCCCTTGACAACGATTTGTCATATCTGTTACACTATGAGCAAAATTTTTAAAGTTAAAATCCGAATGAAATAAAGTGAAAACTAATAAGAGTTTTCAACCTCGACTGAATCTACACAAGTCTATATCTGTTACAGACGGCCCGAAACTCTTGTTCGGCGGGAAATGACGCCGACGGTGACGGCAACGAAGACGTTACTTTTAAAATGAAATCTTTGGCGCGTTTATTTTAATCCGCTGAAAATGTCAAATGTATGCGAATTTCCATGGAGTTGAGTTATTGGGGACCGTACACAAGTTTAGAAAGATAAAGGAAAATTCGTCCTCGCTTGCTTACGTTCATTTCCATAAAACGTGAAATTAAGCATTTTCACAACGTAGTCGTGTAGTGACGGCAGAGAAATGTAAAGTTGTTATTTTGCAAAATTAAACATTGTTACATTTTTGCTGTTCTCGTTGCCGTCGCCTTCGTCGTTGCTAAAGCTCCCAGTTTCGGCTCCACTACGCAGTACAACATGAATCGATAAACCATTAGATTTATTTTGGCTGTTTCGGCCGAGCACCGAGAGATATAAACATAGGCACGTTTAACGTGCTTGAGCTATTTTCAATGCTTCAGCGTATTCGTATCAACAATCTACCGTTGTAATCCTAAATTAAGACTATTTTTTGTGCGAAATTTGATATTGCAGTACATTAGAACATTCTTATAAAAAAGAGCGTAACCTATGATACAATGTATTTCAGTGGTGCTTCGTTAGAAGATTTTATAATTTACTACAAGATTTTGCGTCATATTATATATCGTAATCGCTTGTGTCGCATGAGAAAAGTCAGTAGTAATAAATAAATAAATCGGTTTTGCTAATTTATATGCGTCTCACGATCGGAAAACTTTGCTCGGTAGCTTTTTGACTTTTAACGATAAAATCTTTTTATTTTTTATTTTTTATCGTAGACTTTATGGTTTAAAATCCATTCTGTTTGGCTGAAAAAGGTCGATTTGTGAGCAAGTCTAGCTTTATCATAAAGATATTTTATTTTACCTGCCGTGACGACAAAGAAAGTATTAAACGCCCGCATGCATATAATTAGTCTAATGATGTAAACACTTTCTAGATCAGTAGAGGAAAGATGTTCTTTCGTGCCCTTGAAAAATTCTACAAAGACAATAGTACAAATTTACAAATAAAAGTATAAAAACACTAGACTCGGCATAGAATAATTCAAAACTTTTTCAGTTTAAGATCGTTTAACAGAGAGAAAAGAAATCTGAATGGCTCAAGTGCATTATAACGTGAAAATTTCCCTGATTTGTTTACCCACGGAAACCATCTTCTACATTTACGCGGGGCCGTTAAAGTGGATTGAATCATATTGTTGCGAGCAGCTTTGAGGTTTATACTGCGACAAGATGCAATCTCCTCTTATTAGTTGGTTTATAGCCTTTTTCACGGCAGTCGCTACGTTTACGCAGGGAAGCCCTGATAAGTGTGTCGCCGCCGTGAAATCTCTAGAGGCAACCGTGGATAAACGGTTACAAAAGCTTGAAGCTGATGTGAGAGCCATTTATCTCGGGTTAAATCCACAAGGTAGAATTGTCACTATATTATTTTGCTATCGGCCTCACAGACTGAGAGTAGATTAAGCACTGATCGAAGCTATCATTGTTTCAAATACGAGAGCGAATGAAACACGGAAGTTTAGCATTGTAGCATTAAAGACGCTGCACGCGCCCGTGCATAGTGGAGAGAGAGAGGAGCAAAGCGTCTCCTTGCTACTTTTTGGCCTACTTCCATGTCTAACTCATGGAAATATTTAAAGTAGAAAGCTTCGATATTTGATCTATAAGTATTTCACTGAAAAGTCGCTCAAACAGTTTTTATTTATTTTGCATAGGCACACCATTTACGTCTTGCAGAGAAATTTACCTCAAACACAAGTAAGTATATTAGACAACTTGACAAAGGCTAGCGCTTATTTAAGAAAAACTAACTAAAAAGGTCGGGGAAATGTGAAAAGATTCGCGTCCTTTTACTTTGGCGTTTGTGTTTGTACAAAAAATAAAAAGAATATAATTAGTTCAGTCATCATGATTTTAAAATATAAAATAATTTTGAAAGGTTTTTAATAATACAACGACACTCCCCTTCAAACATTTTAATAACACGTATGACCAAGGCTAAATGAAATATCAAAATCGAGGTATTGCCTTTTGTAAAAATAGGCTTCTTTGATTAATTTAAGAACAATTAAGTCCTTTAGGTAAAAAAACAAATAAAGTAAATGAAAGGAAGTCTAAACTTGAAAATGCGAATATGCGCCGTTTTTGGTATATGCAGAGAAAAAGATGAAAAAGGCGTAAAACAAGACAAATTCATGTGTCTGTTGCGGCGTAGTAAAGCGAAATTTTGAGCATGTAGGTTTCTTTCCTTAAATAATTATTTGGGGAGAGGGACAGATTCGTGTTTTATTGATTAACTTTTCTGCCACCGTAAGACTCTTAGGACTTTGGACTTATCATGACTCATCACTTCATCAGGTCTCAAGTAAACAAAGCCTACTTTCTCCAAATTGGCTCACGAAAAATCCATGTGTACTGTCACATGAGTAACTATGGTATCGGAGCATGTGGGGGCGGAGGATGGACAATGGTTATGAAAATCGACGGACAGAAGGTAGTACACGATTATGATTAACATTATGTTTTACCAAGGTTGCAAGAAAATAGGATAAAAAATGATGGCGATGATGATTTGGCACATTCATGGATATTTGCCTTTCCTCCAGCCTGGCCGGGTTGAACAAATATTTTCCGATTTGATATCATTTTACTCAGTGCAAGTATAAAAGAGTCGTGCTAATTAAATGTAGCCTGCGAACGAAGACGTTTATTTTGGTCGACACTTCTGGATCCACCCGAAACGTTACTTCGTTCTCGGTTAGAGAGAAACAACGATCGGAAATACGTCTGCGTATTATTTTGACAGTCCCCCTAAGTTAAATGCCTCGTTTCTTTTTAATTCATTTATTTATTCATTCATTTTTTGTAGTCAACCTTTCAGTACGCATCAAAACTTTGGAACAACAAAAACGAGTTCAATCTTCCAGGAGGGAAGACGGGATTTGACCATAAAGAGACCAAGTTGCCTACCTATTGGAATCTTCCCTTCTCCCAAATCTGTCTCGTGATGAAAATGGGCCAACAGATCAGATCCTTTGTCATGAACAAGCACGCCAATTCCTTGTACTCTCTCATCGCAGACAATCGCTACAGGAGCACATCTCTAGGTCGTAATATGTGGAAGACGTTGATTGGCTCGCAAGCATCACTCCAGCCCTTCTGTAACAAAGAAGGATTCAATGTGGTTAGTGTCAACCATCATTATTCCAAAGCAAGAATCGGTATCATTAGCAACCAGGAAAACGAATGCAAGTCATGCGACTCTAGAATTGGATTCGGTACTGGAGGTCTCCACGATGACTCCAACTCGTGTGGCAATGAAGCTACACGCTTGCCAGATAATGGTGACAAGCATATTAAGACCATGGGATATATATTGGTCAAATAAAAGAGGAAACCATGCCAAGCATTGTAACACAAAAGAAACTACAGAACTTAGGTAGTTTAAGAACAAGGAAAAGCCTCTTTTCCTAGTAAAGAAAAATAAAACTTGGTGATGGGAAATTGTGTCATTTGTTTATGTACTTGCGTCGCTATACAAAGCAGAATAATAACCCTTAAGCAACAATATGATATCCAAAGGTGTGTCAGACGACCACTATTTAGTACTTAGGATGGGGCAGGAGAGAGGGGATAAGGAGCCCTTCTGTACCCCCTATACCGCAATATTCTTTAAACCTTCGTCAGGGTGGTTCTTTACTGCCTGTAAGCCCAGAACGTTTGGGTCTAGAATAGGGTATCATTTTTCAGGAAACTGATCAGTTGGTTGAAGAGTTTATCTAGACAAGAGAAACAGCTGCTCTAAGATAGGGGGGATTTGGGGAGTTTACTCTAGCATAGGGTAGCAAATTCAGCTAAACTAGCTCTGGTATAGGTTAAGGGTTCCATGGTCCCAGTGGCACATCCCCACCCAGAAATTCCTAAAGTACCTCCCCCCTCGGCCGTTTTTTCGAAAATTCGTTTTTCGGGGTTCACTTGTCCGGCTATGGTGAACTCTTTTTTTCGTGATGATTATACATCATGTATTCTTAATTTACTTCTTACCAATAAAGTATACTGTCTTGGGTTTTTTAAAACGCGTGTCTGTTTCTTTGGCTGTTACCCTGCGAGCAGAGGTTTCTTTCTTGCGTGGATTTTAACGTTTACAAAGTCGTTCGCGTCGATCGCTTGTCAGTCGCGTAGTTGGTTTGTTTCATACCAAAATACCAAGCGATTTCGCAAACGCTAAAACGGTGGCATGTAAGAGAGAAACTTCTGCTCTCAGGGTGTTTGGTTGTTAATATGAAGAGTCTATGATGGGGGCGCAAAATATTTTGTCAACTAGAACAACATGATGACGCTCTTATCGTAGGGGTATAGGAATCATAACGTTTGTGTAAATCAGGCGGGAAAGTGTTTTGTCAACGTCTGGATTGGCCGGAATCAAAGCCAGTAGTAATGAAATTTTGAACAATCTGGAGGAGGGGTGACATTTTCAGTGTGGATCACACTATGATATGTAAACTGGGCGGATTCGTCACCCAACGCCATAAGGAACTGAGGGATCTGGAGGCGGAACTGCTTAGCATGGTGTGTAGAGACGTTGAAGTCGAACCAGTATTGCAAAAAATAACAGGGGAAGAGTTGAACTGGGGGAGTCAACACCGCCTCGGATGCGCGATTGGATATAGTTGCTAGGGGGTTCTGGGAGATGCAGAGATCGGCTTTCTTTGATGTGAGGGTTTGCCACTCGAATGCAGACTCCTAAAGAAACATAGATCCAGACCAGATATTAAGGCAACAAGGAACAGAGAAGAAGCGCCAGTACGCTAGCGGAGGGTTAGGCTGCGTGCAAACGGACGCAACATTGTTGAGCAACAACTCCCAACATTGTTGGATGTTACATGTTGCGTCCGTTTGAACACCCTGTTGCATGTTGTTGAATGTTGTTGCGTGTTGTTGCACAAAGTTTGAAAGCGGTCAAACGTTTAGCCCCGTCCAAACGGACGCAACATTGTTGCGCCCGTTTGCACAGGTGGAATTGTGGTGGAATGTAAACGATACCATAGTAGGTTTGCCGACGGAGGTAGTTGCTATAAAGAAGGGCGAAAGCCATGCGATGACCAAGTCATGGATCAGGATAAGAGTGTCCTTTGCGCTGCTGAGATCAGCATTACTTTGCTTAAGAGGTTCAAGAGTTTCTAGCAGCCTTTTTGGAATTGTCGGACATTGACTTAGATATTGCAAAATGAAACGCAAATATTCTTTAATAAGGCATCGAGAACACTGTTTTAGTTTCTTCTTTTTTTAGTAATAATAGTTTTTTTTTAAATCGAAATGATTTTTTTTAAAATCAAATGAAAATTTTCAAAATTAAGTGTTTTTTTAATCGAAAGGAATTGTAAATAGTGTTTTGACTGAATAGCTTTTTAAGCAATTTAATTATACCTGGATTTTTGAAAACCGGGTTAGCAAAAATATAACCTCATTCTACTTTTTGGCAATTTCAAACAATGAAACTCATTCAAAGGCCGATTAGAAGCCTTTATCTGACGCCAGGCAGTAAGTTTATGGTCCTTGGAAGCATTCCAACGCGTCCAAATTTAAAATGACGCACATTTTAGGACATTTATTCAGTAGTCAGACTTCGCGAAGTTTCAAACCGATGTCATTTCAGTCTAGAAATTTTTGAGTTGAGTGACAATGATTCTGTCTACATCCACTTCTACACAAATCCCTAACCACAAAATAAGCAAAAAACAAACGACATGAGCAAACAACACTGTAAACAAGCTATTAGACAGGGAAAGTTGAGAAAAATTACAAAATGTTTGCTAACCCAGTTTTCATAACTCCAGGTAGAATACCGTAAAATTCCGAAAATAAGCCCCGGGGCTTTTAATTTTCAAAGACCCTTTTTGAGAGGCTTATTTCTGGAGGGGCTTATATTCAGAGGGGCTAATCTACGGAGGGAAATCTGCGTTTCAAAATTGATTGGGCTAGCCTTATAGTTGGAAGTAAATTTACCGTTTTTGCTTTGTTTTACTTTGTATTTGAGGGCAATTTTCCAAGTACAGGCCCCAGGGAGGCTTATATTTGGAGGGGCGATTTAACGGAGGGTTTTTTGCGTTACCTGTTTGGGGGGCTCATATACATGGAGGGGCTTATTTTCGGAATTTTACGGTATTGTAAATAGGATTTTAATAGTTAGCTTTGTTATCAGCAAAATTATTACGACAATGTCGGACCTGTTTTGAGCTACATAGTGGTCTGTTTGAATTCCGAAATCCCACAGTAATTTTACTGGGTCATTTAATTTCCATCACTGCCTCTGGAGAATGATCGAACCAAGATTCGTTGCACTGCAGATCGTAATTTTGGCAGAGTTTCCTATAAACAACTTTAGCAACCTGATCGTGCCTCCAGTTCTAATATTGCTTTTGAGTTAATTTCTTGCATTCTGTTGTTACATGGCTGATAGTTTCCTCCCTTTCACCACATAGGCGACACATCGGTGAAACATCTTGCTTGTCAATCGTGTCCCTAATGTAATTAGACCTGATCTTGTGCAGAAGTTAGTTATTATTATTATTGTAGTCTCACACGGCTGGTGATGTTACAGCTGGTTTCTTCTCTGGCTCCGGGTAACAACAATTTGCCTAAGGAAGGCTAGGAGCACAATCTGTTTGCTTACACCTCTTCATCCATCCCATAAAACCTGAACCCCGGTCGTTGTTTATTTTGTTTATGGCTCAGAAAATCTGGGTATCTTTATATAAGGTCCTATGGATGACTTTGCGTAAGTTACAAAAGCTTGACGCACTTTTTCGCTCACCCTCAAACGATACAAAATTACATTGTATATAATTTGTACTAAATCGATCGATTTTGGGAAATGGGGAACTTTCGTCCTCTTTAATTAGTTTCCATAGATAGTGGAAATGGTAATATATGTGAGGCAAAATTTTTGGCTGGGTAGTTAAGGTGTCTTTTGAGTGGCGAGTACTTCAGTAGTACCAGTACTTCAGCGTTTTTTGCAACAAAATCGTTTCCGCATAAGAAAGGACAGAATTTTGCGAATTCATAAGAATGCGATTTTTTTGGCTTTTTATTTAATAGGCTAGGTTAGGCTTGGAATTTGAGGTGTTGCAGTGAATCAATATTAAGGAAAGTTTGACATATTACTGAAGATTAAGTTATGACTTTTTTAAAGAATTCTATTGAGACGTTTTTAGATAAATGGAAAAGAGTTAAAAATCATGATTTTGCACATCAAGAAAA